TAGTGACTAAGAAAGATCTACCTAATATAATAGGTAAATGCATGTTTTCATTCATATCAAATACAATAAAGTCAACTGATATAAAGAATGATTTGACTTTATTGATGATATTTTCAATTATACCAATTGAACACTTTGTGGACTTATTCGTCAATTGAAGAGTAACATTTATTTGCTTCATCTCCCTTAAATCAAGGTTCCTTACAATGGAAAGTAGCATCAATGATACACTTGCACCTAAATCACGCAAAGTATTAGTAAAATTCAAATGTTTTTTTTTTTTGATAAATTCTATTTTTTATTAATCTGGACCCATGATTACACTGGAAGCTAATTCACGTACAACCCAGAACCCATGTACGAAATGAAGGAAACCCTAATCGATCCATTCTAACATCTCCCCTGACCAATTGTGGCAGCTCTGCAAACCTATTGAACACATGGCTTGCGCTAGAGTCAGCGCCAAAGTTTGCCAGACGATCCGCCGGTGCATTTGCCTCCCTATAGCAGTGTGATATCATGTGAAAGTACTACTTGAACATCAGCAACTCATCCAACTCCCTCTGCAATCGCCAAGGGCAATCACTAGTCCCTTGGACAATCTGAACCAGGGTAAGAGAGTCCACCTCTAAGTGCAGCTCCAGGTACCCTCGAGCCACACAGTGTCTAACGCCCCATAGCAGAGCTCGAAGTTCCGCCTGCATGCTGGTCATCATCCCGAAGTGTTCCGCATACCCAAACACAAAATGCCCTTGACTATCCCGCACAAGACCACCCCCACTACTCCTTCCTGGGTTCCCCCGAGAGCATCCATCTGAATTTAACTTATAGCCTCCCTGCGGGGCTACCCAGCAAACTGACCTAATAACCATCCTCCTTTGATGACTACCCAACTCGCGGAGCATCCCTTCCCACCCGAAGACCGAACACGGCACCCCAGGGAATTGTGCCTAAAGGAAATCTTGTCTAAGCTGGACAATCCGACTAACCGTTTCCCTGACCCTTATCTTGCGACCTTCAAAAACCCCTTCGTTCCTTGCCCTCCATAACACCCAGCACACCACTGACGAGAGAATATTCTGTAAAAACTTCAAAAAGACATTAGTCCCTCTTCTTAACCAACAAGACCACACCAGATGACGCACCAAATGCATCCCACTAAACTCTTCAGTCGTACTCTCGAAGTGACGCCAGACCCCGCGTACCCCCACCCCTGAACAAAACACATGATTCAAGTCCTCCACCTGGGGATCCTGACAACACCAACATCTAGAGGGGCCACACACACCAAATCTCCACAATTGGTCCATAAGAGGAAGCCTTCCCTGCAGTAGTGAAAGCATAAAGAAAGAGATCTTGACTGGAAGCCCTTTATGCCATACATGGCCAGAGAACCAGGAGCTGTTACTGGTTTGCCGAACCAGCGAATGCGCCAATGCTGTGGAGAAAGTGTCCGAGGTCATCAAAGCCCATACCATTCTATCATTGCCCCTGCCGTGATGGGGTCAAGCTCCAACACGTGCCTGAGCAGGTCCCCATCCAAGAAATGATGAAGCATGGCCTTATTCCAGGCCCCCCAATCGATAAAATCAGCCACCGAATGATCATGGAAGACCTCCACCTTGTCGCATAGCGGACCTGACCCCAGCCAGTTGTCGTGCCAAAAATCCATTGCACCCCCTCGAACGACCCAGCAAATATTGTCTTCCTCTATCCGCTGCACCACCACCATCCTCCGCCATGTTTGGGATCCCCGGTGCCCTACATCAGCGAGACAGGGGTGCTGCCCTGCGCAATACTTCTGTGACATAACTCTGCGCATAGTGATTGTTGTTGCCAAAATTTCCACCAGAGTTTAATGGAGAATGAGTCATAAACCTGCTTCAACCCCCGAAGACCAATACCCCCTTCTTCCCTCGGCCGACACAACTCCGCCCAACGCATCCAATGGAACCTGTCCCCCGAATCCCATGACCCCCACAAAAATTGGCGAATAATTTCTCCAGTGCCACTAGTACCCCTTTTGGAGGAGACGCAGCTGCCAGCAAGTGTACTGGCATGGAGGTTAGCACGCTCTAAATCAACACCAACTTGGCCCCAGCTGACAAAATCTGATTATTCCAGGATAGGATCCGGGCCACCACCGCATTGTATGTATCAGCATAGTACACCTTCTTACGCCTTCCAACAAACAAAGGGCAACCTAAGTACCGTATTGGAAAAGCCCATCTAGAGAACCCCAGGGCCTGGCCCACCACCGCTATCCTCTGAGAAGGAGTTCGTGGATGAGCCAGGAAATAGCTCTTTAGAGGATTGACCCGCTGACCTGATGCCACGCTATAGTCATCCAGAACCCATTTCACTAATTGTAGAGACGCTCTCCCCCCATTGGAAAAAATAATCACATCATCGGCGAATGCCAAATGCATAACTATAGGACACCGAGGAGGCACCCGAAAAGAGGTAAAGCCCCGCTGTGTGACTAGCGTATTGACGCCTCGAGACAACACCTCAGCTCCGATAACAAATAAGACTGGTGAAATGGGATCTCCTTGCCGCAAACCCCGTGAGGACCTGAAAAAATCGTGTGGACCTCCATTAACCAAAACCGAGAACCAAACGTTCGAAATTAGGCGCCAAATCATGTCTATCCAGGTCTCACTGAACCCGAAGTGCCGCATTACCTGTAGAAGAAAGGACCATGAGAGTTTATCATAGGCCTTCATCATATCTAACTTGATTACCACATTACCATCCCGATTTGATTTCCTGATGTCCACTAACAACTCCTAAGCTAGCAAGAAATTATCTGTAATCTGTCTCCCTTGTACAAACCCACTCTGCTGTGGGGATATAAGTCGGGGTAATAACATAGCCAATCTTGCTGATAACAGCTTGGAGATGATTTTGTTCGCAAAATTGCACAGACTGATCGGCCGGAACTGCGCGAAATCCTGAGGGTTCTCCACCTTGGGCAACAGAACAATCGAGGTAGCCATGATACTCCTAGGTAGCTCCGCACCGCAGAAAAAACTCACCACCACCCGATATACATCCGATGCCGCCACCTCCCAAGCAAAGGTAAAAAATTTCCTTGTGAACCCGTCCGGTCCTGCTGCACTCTCCCCATCCATGGCAAAGACTATGTCCTTGACTTCGGTAAGGGAAGGAATCTCCGTTAGTAGTGAGTTATCCTGGTCCGTCACCAGTTTTGGGATGACCTCCAGACTAGCACTAAGAGGTGGGCCCCCCTCTGCCGTGAAAAGCTCCTGAAAGAATCCCACGGCCGCATCCCCAATCTTAGCCTCCCCCTCGATCCACTCTCCATCTATCCCCTGAACTCAATGAATCACCGCCCTCCGCCTCCTTTCCGTAACCACTGAGTGAAAATACTTGGAGTTCCTATCTCCGTCCACCAGCCACCTCACCCGCGCCTTTTGTCTCCAAAAGCCCTCCTCAATTACCAGCGCAGGCCTTAAACGTGCACGGGCATGATGAAGTTCGCCCCGCAGATGCTCAGTCGGGTCCAGGTCGTACTTCAGCTCGACCTCGGCTACCTCAAGCTCAGCGCTACGGGTACCCTCAAAAATATCCCCAAATGTCGTCCTAGACCATTGCCTAAGAGCGATCTTAACACTCCTCAGCTTCGTGGCCAGTACTTGCAGTGGAGAACCACTGACTGGCTGATCCTAGCACTCCTTGATAACCCCCAGCAAACCATGATGAGTGGTCCAGACGTTTAAGAAATGATATGGCTTGGGCTTGTTATCTAGCCTTGTAACCACTGACAGCAACAAAAGAGCATGGTCTGACGGGTCGCGACCCAAATGTTGAACCATGACTTGGTGTGGAAGCTCCAACGCGTACCCACAAAGGAGTAATCATTCAAGACGTTTCCAAATCCGAGCCGATCCCGATCGATTATTACACCAGGTATACCTTGACCCAGAGAATCCCGCATCACTTACCCCGGCCACCGCCATGAAATCCAAAAAGTCCAACCCCTCCGACGGTCTAAACTGCAAGCCGCCCCTCTTTTCTTCCGCATTTGTGATCACATTGAAATTCCCTACCAAAAACCACGGGTTCAAGGCGGGCTTATCCCTCACTAATGCACTCCACAACTCTTCCCTCTCCTGAGCCGTACATTTAGCATGTATACAGGATAGTATAATGGAGTGTTGGAAGAGATGAGATTGCAATTGAAGGGTTAGATGTTGGGGTAACTCCCTAACATTCTAACACGTAAACCAAGACCGATAAAATACCCAAATAGAACCCCAGTGATTGGCCATGCAACAATCCATCCCCAACTTTAGTCTAATATCAGTTATCAACTCCATTCTCATCTTAGGTTCAACCACAACCACCAATTGAAGATCATACAATTTAATAAGTTTCAGCAAACGTCTTAAGTTAGGAGCTCAAGCCACTCCCCTTATATTCCAAAAAAGTAACTTAATCATCAGAGAGCACAGAAAAGGTATTTGTGGAGGAACTAACCATGGATCTTAGTGTTCGATCAGACGGGAAGCCAGCACGGAGACCGCACGGCCTTACATCAAGTCTCTCCTTGCGGTCCACTTCCTCCTGTGCAAGGTGGTCAGAAATCGCCACCGTATGTATATGTACCATCTCCAGAGGTGATACCTCCTCTCTGACCCGTTCCTTAGAGCACCCACTCCTAGGAGATAAGTTCCCCACCATTCGCTGAGTATCCTGCAAGTCATCAACCATCATGTCGTCCTCGGAAGACCATACTTGCCGCACCGCAGAGCGCACGACCACCCTCGCAGCTAGCCCACTCCCGACAGCTTCAATGCTTTCCCTTCCTCCCGCAGGTTGTAACAGCGCCATTGCAGTGCTAACTCCCTCGACCGTAGCCACCTTCCCACTGTCCGCCGCTATCTCCCTCCCCTGCTCCACCAACGTAGCAGTAGTGGCCTGCCGCACCTCCTCCCCTTGCATTCCTCCTACCCTCTGCCTGTGGGTCCCAACATCTAATGGCTGCCCGTGGGTCTCAGCCTCCTGCTCCCTCCAGCAACCAGCACGCCGCTATCAGCAGGCCCTGTGACTTTCCCCATTGCCTCAGGATCCGCCGCCACCTTCTGCAGGAACAAGGAAGGCTGGTCCCCAGTGCCCTCCGCAGGCCCCTCATGAACATCATTTTCCTCCATCTCTGCCAGCCGAAGCTCCCTTGTACCAGCGGTCTTAGCATGGTGACTTGACCCACACAACTCAGGCTTCAGCTCATGGCAAGTTTCCTCGTCGTGACCTTGGCGGAAGCAATGTGAGCAATACCTAGGAGGATTCTCCACCACCAGCTCTTGCCAAAACCCCGCATGATTGCTGTTTCCAATCCAAACCCGCGACGGTGTCGGCCGCAACAGATCCACCTCCACACATACGCGTGCCACACTTGGCCGTGAAATAGCCAAGGTAGCCGCATCCACTAATAAGGGATTACCCACCATAGCAGCAATCTGGAAAAGCACCTCTTTGTTGAAAAAGTGCAGTGGGAGTTTTGGTAATTGAAGCCATAACGGAACCACCGAGAACTCCCTGTCTACATGGAAGTCCATGGTCCATTTGAATACCCTCATAGGGAAGGAATACACATACCAGGTTCTCCTAAACCATACACGATGGAAATCTGCTTCATTGTGCAATTGAATCAGCACGTGTCGTGCGTCCAACAAGCCCACCGAAGGGTTTTCACGCAAATCTAGTGACGCAAAGAACTTCCTCACCTCCTCCAGCTTCGGTCTGCCTCTGAAGAATTTCCCAACCAATGCGAAACGATATGGACTGGCCAGAGCTTCTACCGCTGCCTGTGGGAAAATAAGCGCAGGCTCTCCTTTGTGAGTGGCCTCCTCTGCCGCAAAGGAGAGTGACGTCTGTGATGAGTTTTGCTTGAACAGCTCTGAAAAAGATTTGCGTTGGAAGGTAGGGGGGTTGGACGCCCCCCATCAGGTGGCCGGAGGGCAGCCATGGACGGCCGTACCACCCTTCTGCCCAAGCCGCACCGTAGATGAAACCCTAGCGCCGCACCTTTGCCTTCTATTCTTGGAAAGAGCCACTGACTCTTTTCGACACCTATTCTTGTTTTTCTTTTTTTCAATTCAAATGTCAAATGATACAAGATATAGTAAAACTCCCCAAATCTATACGCTTTGTTGAAAGCTTGTTTTGAATGCATGCCAAGCATTCTTCCGTTAATGCTATTGTCTTATGATTTTCAATTTTTCTCTTGACATAATATCCTTCAAAAATTTGGCATAAGAGGGAATTTGCAAGATAGAATCAACAAAAGGTATATTAATTCTAATTTGCTTAAACATTTGAGCAAATTTGTTAAATTCCTTCTCCTTATTGCTTTGCTTCAACCTATCGGGGAAAAGGAATGTAGTTTGTAGCATTCTTATGAAAAATATAAGAAGAAAACATATCAAATTCATTTGAAACATGATCGCTTTTACTTTCTTGTTCATTATTACCCCCATTTTCATCATTCTTTTCACTTTTACCAAGGTGATTATTCTCTAGTTGTTTACCACTCCTAAGAGTGATTGCATTCATATATTCTCTAAAATTCACCTCAATTTTACTTGAGAAATCACTTGATTGCTTTAAATTAATGAAATTAGTAATATTGCCTAATTAGTCTTGCATATCCCTAATCATGGTCATCATAATATTCATGCCTATTTTAATATCATCAAATTTTCCTTTTATTTCATGAATATGTTTTTCAAAATTGACCTCTAAAGTTGAAAATTGTGACTCAAGTGGTCTTATTGAAAAATCGGGTGGAATGATAAATTTTGGTGAATTTGATTGATCTCGCCACTCTAAATTGGGATAATTCTTCCAACTAAGATTGTAAATCTTTGAAAAAGGATTATTTTGAGGTGGCCAATTGTAGTTATTGACATTATGAACTTGTTCCACATGAAAATAATTAGCACTATCATGATTACCACCACATATTGAATAATAAGCAATACTTACATGAGAATTTGAAACACTTCCCCCTTGCTTTCTTATTAACATCTCAACTTTATTCATATGAGAATCAAACATATTTTCTAATTTAGCACTTAACAAGTTGAGAGCATCAATTTCATACATACTAGCAGTTCTTCTTGAGTTACCTCTTTTGTTTGTCCATTGATAGTTACTAGAGGCCATTTTCTCTATCAAAGATTGAGCATTCTTGATTGATTTTTTCATTAAAGTTCCACCGATGGCGGCATCTATAATGATTTTGTTTGGGTAGTTGAATCCATTATAGAAAATTTGAACAACCAACCAATCGGAGAGGCCATGGTATGGACATTTTCTTTGATGATCCTTAAATCTCTCTTAAGTTTCATGTTCAGTAAAATCTGTGATATCCATATGAAATTTAACCATTTTTTTCAAAGAAAAATATTTATTCAAGAATGCTTTTGTCAACTCACCCCAAGAAGTGAAAATGTTAGATGGATAAGATTTAAACCATATCTCTGCCTTATCACAAAGTGAAAAGGAAACAATCTTGACTTAATTGCTTGATCATTTACTCCATTTATTTTGATTGTATCACATAAGTTCATGAAATTAGTTAGATAAGTATTAAGATCCTCTATTGCATTTCCTCCAAATTGACTTTGTTGAACCATTTGAATGAACCAGGGCTCGATTTCAAAATTATTAGCATTAATTGTCGGTCTTGCAATGCTAGTTTGTGCTCCTGATGCATTTGGTAAGGCGTAATCCCTCAAAGGTCTTGACCTTTGATCATCCATTTCAACTGAAGTTTCACCTATACTTTTCACCTCAAGTTACTCTTGTTGGGCACGTCTTCTTCCTCTTCTCACCATGTTTAGCATTTGAGGACAAATTTTTCCTTGGTAAAGAATTTAGTACCTAAAAATAACTAAAAGATAGAATATATAAGATTAATACAATAAAGATAAAATAACAAAGTTGAGATTAATAAATCTTGTTTTTGTTGATCTTGGTTCCTGTCTTTTGATGTTTATAAAACAATTGGATGATACTAATATCTTTTCAATAAGAAATCCTTTCAGCTATAAAGCAACATGCTTCAAAGAACAAGAGCAATTGAAAGAGATAAAGGAAGATGAAAGCTGTCGGGTGCTCGCAAAAATAATAACGGACGTCCGATAAACAGTACAGATCATATCGGATGCAGAACATCCTCACCGGATGTCCGAAAGAGTTGAAATAATCTTTCAAACTCTCTGCCTACTTTCGGACGCACGAAGAACTCCATAACCAAACGTCCAAAAAAATTAAGATATTCCTTCAAGCTTTCTGTCTGCTTTCGAACACAAGCATCAGAGGTACCGGATGTCTGAAAGAATTGAAAAAGATTTTTTAAATTCTCTGTCCGCTTTCGGACGCAAACATCGAAAGTACCGGACATCCGACACGCCCAACGGCTAGTTGACTTTTCAGCTGCCTTCTATCCGTTGAAAGCATTAATGAAGTACTTTTCGATCTCATATAAATAATGCATGGTCAGAAACTTAAAAAGGACTTTTGCACGCTAAAAATACAAGAGATTAAGAGTAGTCTTAGTGAAAAAATATTGTCCAAGAAACATTTGTACTCTTTGTAGTGTAAGACTTGTGTAAGTTTTTTATTTGTGAGAAAATACTTCAATAGTGTAGTTTTGTGTAGGTTATCCTGAGGGATAGTAAAACTTTCTAACTTGACCGAGTGTAGTTTGGGACAAGGAGAAAGTGAGCCTTCCTTTGTACACAAGATTGGTTGTATTTCATCAACTTGAAGAAGTTTGTTCTGTGATTTGATCTTCAAGCTCAAGAGAAGTTTGGTAGTCAATTGGTTTGCAATTCTTCCCTTTTTTACTTATCATCTTGTGAACCTTAATTGCTTATTTCTTCTACTCTCAAGTGACATTGCTCTGTTATTGATTGATTTACTGTGTGATCACTTAGAAAAAAGGGTAAAATTCATATTAAGCAAAAAGTGTTCTTTAACTTGATTAGTTTTTAATCAACCTAATTCACTTCTCCTCTTAAGTTGTTTTCGGGTCTAACAATTGGTATCAGAACTTGATTTTCTAGAGATTAAATTCAAGCGGCTTAGGAGTAAAGATGACAACCAACAATGCCATATTTTTTGAAGGACAATCAGTCACTAGACCTCCAATGTTTAATGGGTTAAATTATGTGAATTGGAAGGAAAGAATGATTATTTTCTTGCAATCGATTGATATTGAATTGTGGTTTATTGTTAATGAAGGTCCATATAATGCATCTATAATAGATGAAAATACTCATAGATCTAGACCAAAAATCAGAAATGAATTGACTGGTGATGATAAAGCTCACATCACCTTAAATGCAAAAGTTATGAATGTGGTATATAGTGCTTTAAACTCAAATGAATCTATTAGTGTCAAAAGCTGCAAATCAGCTAAAGAAATTTGGGACAAACTGAAAGAAATTCATAAAGGTAGTTAGAATATTAGAGAATAAAAGAAATCTATTTTAATTACTAAATATGAGTCATTTAAAATGGAACCTCATGAAAATATTGATAAAATGTATTATAGATTCAATGACCTTATTAAGGATTTAGAAGTTCTAGAAAAGGAATACACCTTAGGAGAGAAAAACAGAAAAATCTTAAATGCTTTGTCCAAAGATTGGGAGAGTAAGGTTACTGCTATTGAAGAGGCTAAAGATTTGAATTCTATGCCTATTGAATCTCTTATAAACTCTCTAACATCTTATGAATTGAATCTTAAGTCCAAGGTACAGGAAGAAAAAGATACAAAAGTTAAAAGGAATATTGCTCTAAAAGCATCTCAAAATGAAGATGACTCGATTTCACTGGATGATGAAGATGTGGATGACAATGATCTAGCTCTCATCATAAAAAGTTTCAAGAGAATCCTCAATACAAGGAGATTCAGAAAAGGAGGACCTAGCAATTCGAATTCCAACCAATTCAATATTGCAAAAAACAAAGGAAAACAAGAGGCCAATAAAAAGTAAGGTGACAAATGCTATGAATGTGGCCAACCTAGACACTACATAAGTGAGTGCCCAATAAAGAAGAAGAAAAAAGAAAAAGCTGGAAGAAAGCCAAGATTCAACAACTTTCAAATCACATGAAATGAGTGCAACTCCGATGGTGATATTAAAGAGGAGGAAAAATCTGCTCAAATGGCTTTCATGGCCATTGGTGATGATGAAATAACTACTTGTAACCCTCAACTTGTAAGTGATGATGAAACTGAAAATGATCTTGAATCCTTCATTGAGAGACTGCATGATAGTTTGAAAGAATCTTATGCTAAAAACAAGGAATTAAAACAAAAAATTAACTTTCTTCTTCAAGATAATGCAAATCTTTTTTAACAAAACAAAAAGCTGCAAACCGAAAATGACTACTTAAAAATGGGAGAGATTGATCTACATAATGAGCTTGTTAGAAAAACAAGGCTTTGTGAAATGTTCAAAAGAGAACAAGGTGATTTGAAGAGAAGAATGGACAACCTAAATGAGTTGCTCCAACACAAAATATAAAACTGTTTTCAAGGGAATGGATCAAAACCTCATTTTGGCACTCATGAGAAGAAATTAAATTCTAGTGCAAATGAATTTACTATTTACAAGAGAAGACAAGTAAGATTTATTAAACCTGATCATGCAAATAACTTGTCGATTTTGTGTAGTTTTTGTTGTCAAAAAAGTCACATAAAAAGTAATTGATATGTGATAAAAAATATGAGAAGAGGCATGAAATGCATGTGGATAGTTAGACATGATGCTAACTCTCGAGGAGCCAAAAATTAAAGGGTACCAAATATTATTTCTTGAACTCGTGTGTAGGTGAACTTGGTGAACATCATTAAGAAATCAAAATACTTCATAGATAGTGAATATTCAAGACATATGACCGGCGATCCATCACAATTCATCAAACTCAAGCCAAAATCAAGTGGCAAGGTAACATTTAGAGATGATATGAAGGTTAAAACAGTTGGAGTAGGAAATATTGGTAAGCATGGTGAGACCTTTGTTCATAATATTCTTTTGGTTGATAATTTGAGTTATAACTTGCTAAGTGTTAGCCAATTATGTGATAGAAATTTGTTTGTCTTATTTAAAAAGCATGAGTGTTTAGTTCTTGACTCAAAATTTAACATCATTTTTAAAGGAAAAAGATTCAATGACATCTATGTTGTGATTCTTAAAAATATTAATTCCTCCAACCTTCAATGTTTTAAAGTTTCAAATGAAAACCCTTAGTTGTGGCATAGAAGGTTTTGTCATTTTAACATGGATTTGTTAAAAGAAATTTTCAAAAAAGATCTTGTTAGAGATTTGCCAAAAATTAAGTTTGAAAAAGACAAAATTTGTGATGCTTGTCAATTTGAAAAATAAATCAAAATCTCTTTTAAATCCAAAAAGCGTGTCTCTACTTCAACACCATTGGAGATTTTATATCTTGATTTGTTCGGTCCTACATAAATTGCTAATTTGGGTGGTAAGAGGTATTGTCTTGTCATTGTTGATGATTATTCTAGATACACTTGGGTGATTTTTCTTGCTCACAAGGATGATACTTTCAAAAATTTTGTTTTCCTATTTGCAAAAGCTCAAAATCTGATTGGTTTGAATATTATCAAAATAAGAAGTGACAATTAAATTTTACGAATTTTCGAAATTTTGTGATCACAATGGAATCACACATGAGTTTTCAATTACAAGAACCCCTCAACAAAACGGTGTTATTGAAAGAAAAAAATAGAACTTTTCAAGAAAGCGCAAGAACCATGTTAAGTGAATGCAACTTGCTAAAATATTTTTGGGACGAAACCGTAAATACGGCTTGCTATGCAATGAATAGAGTTCTCTTGAGACCAATTTTGAATAAAATCTCTTATGAGTTATTTTTTGGTGAAAAGCCAATTGTTGGATATTTCAAAATTTTTGGTTGCAAATGTTTTATTTTAAATATCAAGGAACATCTTGAAAAATTTGATAAGAAATCCGATGAAGATATTTTCTTGGGTTATTGTGAAAATTAAAGAGGTTATAGGGTCTATAATAGAAGGACTTTGGTCATAGAAGAAACCATACATGTTACATTTGATGAATCTAATAACGATTTTTCAAGAGTTGTTGTGAAGATGATGATGTAGG